TTATTTTTTTTTGGAATTTTTCTTCAACACACTTAATGGAATAAAAGAGTTAATATGAAAGCAAAAAGTAAAAGAAGAGGGAACAGCCAGTTAAAAATAAAAATTTTCTCCTTTCACGCTCGCACTAAGAAACTGTCAGGTGCTGTACACACGAAGAAATAAGCACAGATTTTAAGAAATTACTTTTCGCAAATGTAATTAAAGGAAAATCACTGAAAAAGTATAGTATATATATGCGCAAGGAATTGATTTTTTCTGAAACAACACTAGTACTTAATTACATAAACTGTTTTTAGTTTACTGCTTAACTGTCGTTCGAGCGAAATAATCAGGTTTAGCTGGAGCACAATGTACCGCATCGTTTTAATTAATTACATTGTAGCACCCATATTGGTTAAGCGAATTTGTCAAAAGAGTAGAAGCGAAAAAGAGAAGAAAATGAAATAAATAAAAATTTGGCTTTTCTTAAGGCGAACGAAAAACCAGATTTAAAAAGCAACAAGGTAATCAGCAGCAGCAACAGCGGATAGAAAAAGTGCAACAATGTCATTGCATTGGTAGTAAAACAAAAATAAGTATGAAAAACCAGCGGTAAAAATGCTCACTGTTTTTCTGTAAATATGTATGTTTGTGCCTTAATTGACTCTTCGTACAAATGGCTATATTTTCCGTTTCGCGGATTACAAAAAAAAAACTCTTAAAAAAAGGAAGGGGCGACACTTTGAAAGCATAAATAAATTTAAAACCGAAACAACATATTCTTAACACTAATAACAAATACAATAAAGTAGAACGAAGTCAAAATATGTCAGATATATCCGTATTTTTAAAGATAATAATTTATTTATTTACCCATACTTAACAATTATTTATTTATTTAAATTGTTAAAAAAAGTTGTTGTTGTCAAATATCTCCCTTCCGCTTTTTTGTCTTTTGAATTTGGCGGCTATGTACAAGCGCTACGGAGCTCGTATCTGGCAACACTATACATAATTTCAAAGGTCTTGACATAACCTACAAAACAACTCTATGCATGATTAGTTTGGATATTGCGTTCAACAGTTATAGACGTGTAAACATGGAGTTCACTAACGCCGAAATTCGCGCCATTTTAAAGTTTTCCTTCGTTAAAGGCAAATCCGCTAGAGAAACATTCCGTGAGATTAATGGTGTTTTGGGGGATAGTACTCTATCACTTCGGACCGCGGAGGAATGGTTTCGACGATTCAGAGCCGGTGAAAACGACACCATGGATAAGCCAGCCGGCGGAAGACCTGTGACGACAAATACCGATCAAATCATGGAATACATCGAGTTAGACCGGCATATGGCATCTCGTGACATCGCCCAGGAGATGGGAGTTAGTCACCAAACCATTTTGAACCATCTGCAGAAGGCTGGATACAAAAAAAAGTTTGATGTTTGGGTGCCGCATAATTTGACGCAAAAAAACCTTCTGGACCGAATCAACGCCTGCGATATGCTGCTGAAACGGAACGAACTCGACCCATTCTTGAAGCGGATGGTGACTGGCGACGAAAAATGGATCACATACGACAATATCAAGCGAAAACGGTCGTGGTCGAAGGCCGGTGAATCGTCCCAAACAGTGGCCAAGCCGGGATTGACGGCCAGGAAGGTTTTGCTGTGTGTTTGGTGGGATTGGAAGGGAATCATCCACTATGAGCTGCTCCCATATGGCCAGACGCTTAATTCTACCATCTACTGCGAACAACTGGACCGCTTGAAGCAGGCGATCGACCAGAAGCGTCCAGAATTGGCCAACAGGAAGGGTGTAGTGTTCCACCAGGACAACGCCAGACCACACACTTCGTTGATGACTCGTCAGAAGCTACGGGAGCTCGGATGGGAGGTTTTATCGCATCCACCATATAGCCCGGACGTAGCGCCAAGTGATTACCACCTGTTCCTGTCCATGGCGAATGCCCTTGGTGGTGTGAAGTTGAACTCAAAAGAGGGTTGTGAAAAGTGGCTGTCCGAATTCTTCTCAATAAAGGAGGGGGCTTCTACGAGGAAGGTGTTATGAAGTTGCCGTCTAGATGGAAACAGACCATCGAACAAGACGGCGTATATTTTAACTAAATCCGATCACTGTAACTCGTTTTATAAAGCATTGAATGAAGAGCAAAAAAGCGGAAGGGAGATATTTGACAGCCTATATTTTTGGGTTTTAGTTTTAACGAACTTTCTCAGACCATATAATTTTGGGAATATGTGAAAAAAATACAACAACAGTTTTGGACGATAGAAGCTATAGCTGCTATTTTGGAAACCACCACGTTTCTTCAAAAGACTTCTTTTTACAGACACCTCTGTTTCAATTGGATTTAAATATTGTTTAATGGAAAATAATTGACATGATTTCCGAAAATATCAAAGTTTATTTCATTCGGTTGATTTCAGCCTTAAATCTTCAAAATAAATATATATTTCTCACACAAAACATCAACGCTTTTTGACATTCTCGTAACGATAATGCTTAAGAAATTCTACGTCGTCACACATATACGTCGTACGTATCTGGAGAGTATTATGGATTTTAAAATCAGATAAAATATTAATAATATTTTTTTAAAATATTAATAATATTAATTTTTAAGGAACCAAGCTTCATTTATACATTTATATAAATTTTATGCTGGCTGCAAAATTCGTGTGGTTAACATTACGTATTGCCATTATGAAGGCCAGGGTTGCAGCCCCGGTTCGACCAACTTCAAAAATTATAGAAAGTTAATTTTTCTAATTGAGATCGCCCTTCGACAGGGCATGTCAAGCCCTCCGAGTATATTTCTGACATTGAATAAAGGCTTCTCATAAAAGTCCATAGGGCGTTGGTTGAAAAGACTTCAAGATGCATACCACATAAGAGGAAGCAGTTCGCTTCAGCATTTTCAAAGCGCCCATTATTATTATTATTTTCATTTTTAATATTTAAAAAAAAGATATGTATGTAACACCATACTTCATACACTTGTAAAGTACCAAATGGCATATTTTTCAGTTATTTGGTTTAAATAAAATTTATTGAAATACAAATTTAATCAATTTAAATTTTTTACGCAAAATTTTATATAATGATTTAATTAAAACATTCGAAAACAATAAAGAGGTTGGCAATATACAATATTGAATGTAGGAAAACATCTTAGAGTTTTTAGCTTGGTACTCCTTAGAAAGCCGTAGAGAGCTAACGCAGATCACAAGCCGTTCTCTTGAAAGGCGTATGAATGTCTGGACATAGTAACATACGCGTATCAGTTAATGAGATGGCGAAGAAACGGCAAATGCCTTTCATTTTCCCCATCATGGAAGAGTTTGAACATGCCGCTCTCTACTTGTAAGCTCAATATAGAAGAGTTATTCAATAAAAATTAGAACCTTAGACTTAAAAGCCTCAATACTTGTAATGTGACCAAGACATTATGGACAGAATGGAAAGGAAGAAGGTCACGTGACCTTATCAAGCTTTAAATAAAGAATATATCTACAGTTATAGGTCGATTGGACAGGCACGCTGGGAGTTCGAGCATATAATCTAACCGATTTTGTAGAAGCTACAGACAAGAAGAGGAACATGAAACTTTAAGGGACTTCCTCGGCGATTGTGGGGGCTAAGATACGGCGACAAACTCTTCAAATTGATTTGTTTAGTGGGCAAGGGTCGCAAAGCTAGCACATGCACCCGTTTGGTAACCTAAATGAGCTGATGCCCTCCAAACACTACAACCACTAACTAACCAACTCTTAGAACAATTGAAAACAATATACTCTCTTGCAGGAGTTGTTGTTCTTGTTCATGCATTCTAAATTCCGCAAGCAATAATACTTTTGCGTTAATTAAGAAGAAGTATTAAAAATGGGAACTACCTAATGTATCGCTTATATGTCTGATATAAAAATGATGGTAACAGGACTATTATTTGTTTTTACTGACAGCAGAGCCACCAAAAGTAGGGGTTTTGTGGCTGCTGGGCAGGGTTGCAAATTCATGCATACCCGCCTCCTTGCAGCACATATCCTTTTATAAATGTTAATTAGATAAACGTTCAACTGAATTATTTAAATATGGAGATTCGATTGAGTCGCCCTAATCTGATTCGGTATGCTAAGCTGCTAGAAGGAGGCTACTAAGAGTCTGCTAGACGCATGTGAGTAAGCCGGAGTTATGCATGAAAGTGTTTCCGTAACCTTGGTATAGCTTTCCAAGCGCTCTTGCTATCCACCTAAAGCATGTTTATAACCTTCCTTACTGCTTTTAGGCATGCGTGCGTATGGCAATGCCTTCAAGGTCAATGTCTTCTGCTATGCGAAGTCAGCGGTAGCGGATTCTGACCGCATGCCAAAACTTCAAACGCTATCTTCGGTATAATGGCAAAACGTCCTACTTGGATACGAGTAAGATCTTCGAACTCATACCTGCTGTCGCTGTTTTTCTTTGCTGGATATTTCATTTGGGACGATTGATAAATCTCACCGCTGTAGCTGCGGGTACTGGATAGAGTAGGTCTGAGACACGGAGGTATCACACCGGTAAGAGTATCTGACAGCGGGTGGCTGTAGGCCGGTCTCTTCCAGTTCTTTGTCTTTTCTCCTTTCCTCCAGAGCACTGGCATTGCAAGGATGGCTTTCACGTGGCGGCGGGTTATCATCATCGAACAATACAAAAAACTCCTTATATAAATCGCTGACAAAATGATTCTAGCAATAATTCACCAAAGGCGTCATTTCTGCGTGTAATTAGAAAAAATCGTTTGAAAGCCGCACCACCCTATCATTCCGCAAGTGATATTAAATAGCACTATAAAGATCTTAAAAACATTTGGTTTGAACATATATTCTTTTACACATACAAACGTAAATATTTACGCACAGTCTTACTGTCTCTCCTCTTTCCTTACATTTCAATAACATTTTTTCAACGTCTGCATTCTTTATTCAATTTTCCACAATTCTCCATTTTTTCTTTTCCTTTCAGTTCACACACAACTGCCAACACGCAATGCCGGCATCTATGAAAAGACACACAAATCTCCAACCGGCGTTGTACCCTCACCGCGTTCACCATGGGTCTTCGCGAATGGTGCAGCGCCACAAATGCATTTTAGTACACAACGATTACTACTCGCTGCAAATACGATTACACTCTTCTACGTCGCATTATCTTTGTTCAAATTTATATCGCATGAACTGTCCGTCGCTAAGGTCACAGCAACGACACTATGGCGGGCGAATGGTTGAAGCGTTGAGTGGCGATGAAAAGGCGACGATGATAAGAAAACAAAGGCAACAACAACGAAAGAACAATAGCAACAACAAGCGTGGAGTACGAGGAAGGTTTATGGCAAAGACGTACTTGGAGTTCATCGTCGTCGCGAAATATTTGCTAAAGATTGCGGTATGCGGCATATGAAAGACATGTGTATGGATACCTAAAACTAAATAAGGGCATATGTGTTGTTGAAATGTACGTATTATAAATAGCATTTTCAGTACTTAAGCTATGAATTTACTTTTAAATATTACAAATATACATATGTATAAATAAATTCATATGTACAATACATATGAATGGCGAACGCAGTGGTAAACGTGTCGTATGAGTGACATTTTTTGCGGTAATTGAATGAAATATAGAAATGTTAGTATCTACATACATATGAATATATATATACATATTTATATATGTAAATATTTAAATATAATATATTTATTTTGACACATGCAACAGAATAGTTCACACAAAATTTATATATATATTTATATATATATATATATATATATATATCATATATGCGTATATCCTATATTTACATAAAAATCTTAAATCTGTTTCAAATTCAGTAATCTCCAAAAATCTCCAAAAGTCACAGGCCGATTGACTAAAAGTTTCGTCAGCTCACTTCTAAGACTCCTGGGCAGGTTTTTACGAAGTGGCCCAGGGACTGACTATTCGAAAAAAAGTTTATTTATGGCTCGATTTACTTGAAATTCGGTACATAGCTGGCCTTTTTCTTAGATTAATAAGAAGACTGCACTTCTCTCGGCGAGTGGGCCGGGGGCTGGCCTATTCAAAAAGTCGGATTATTCCTCTCTCCATGAACTGGACCAATATCAATGGTGAAACCAAAAATGCTGTATTCTCGCAAGTATTGAGTATATAAAGTTTTGACAGAAACATATCCCTTTATTACTTTTTCATACACTCAATGAGTATGAGTCACAGCGAAGCGCCTACGTGTATTATTTATTTTTATATTTTTGATTTTCGTCCGACCTCCTCCTCCAACTTCTGGTACGCGTCTTAATTTTTTCTCAACAAACAGAAGAAGCTGCATCCTCCAAATGGTTGAAGGATTTCATGCAGAAATAGACTCGGAAGGCTTGACATTCCCTGCTGAAGGGCGACCACAATTAGAAAAATTTATTTTCAATAATTATGAATGTTGAACGAACTAGGACCCTGTACTAATATTGACACGCAATCATAACCACTCGGCTATTGCAGCCGATTACATACTATTTTATTGAGGAGATTTTATTTCGTGTCAGGAAGAAGGGTTCACCGCAATTACAGAAAAAATAAGTATATTTAAAATTTTGGATGTTGGTCAAAGCAAGACCCGAACTCTGGCCTTCAGAATGCTTCATGCAAAGCGCGAATAGCTTGCATATATCATCCTTTATTCATATACCCACACTACGGCAAGCATTCTTGAATTCGAAGAAGAAATTTTGTGTGCATATACATATGTGGCGATATATTTACAAACCTGGTACACGAAAACTTAAATGCTAGCAAAGCAGGTCTAGTATTAAAACAGAGAATACCAGATTTCACACCAACAACAAAAAATGATACTATCTAATGACTAGCTTAGAAGACAAGCTAGTTGAAACTAACACCGTATAGGAAGCTCTCATGGAAACAGCTTTATAGCCATAAAAGAAAAGTGGGATCCAAATAGACATAAACACCTCGAGTAACGCATTGGCTCTATCACGCTGTTGTAAGGTCAATTACAAAATAAGGTACTAATTTGGTAGCCAGTAACAGAAAAAAATATGCAGTAAAATGCCCGAAAAGTGTAAATGGAGCCGAAGGTCTTAGAACAACACCAACTAAGCAGACATTATGCTATATTTACTGCCTCTTAATTTGTATTGTAATCTCCTGCCAGCGAAAACGGCCTTCAAACTGAATACATTTTCTCGATTAATTACCTATAATAAGGGATATTCTTATAGACAGTTTTCATTTGGATCCAGTGCTACGGATTTTCGCGATCGTTTAGAGATGAAGACACAGAGATAAGTATCTATACGGATGGATCTAAGCGTAAATTACTGCAATTAAGGAGCTCCATCTGGCTCCAACAATTCCATGTCTTAATTTCTTAGTGGGACTAAAATTCTACTTTTCAATAAACCAGTATGGGTTCCAGGGCTCAGAGGTACTAGATTTGGCAGCACCTTATAATTCAATAGAGATCAGAAGAGAACGTTTATGCTTATTCTATTGTACATATTTAATTTAAAAAAATGCTAGAAATACATTAAGACCAGAAAGTTTGTGGAAATTGTAACTTAAACTGCCCGCGCTGAGTATGTTTCTGCACTTTTTTTGTTAAGTTGGTAAAACTACCCTTAATTGCTATGTCTCATTTTCGACATCTGTCTATCAGTTTTTTTGCAGCAGCTATTGAAATAAATCGACCTTAGTTCCTTGTCCCAATTTTTTTATACGACCTCAAACGAGTCAAAAAAGGTTACATGGAGAGGGAACTTGAGGTTTGAAAACAAAAAAAAAGTTGCATGGGGCCAAGTATGGTGGTCGAGCGACGGAATTGAATCAGTTTTGGTCTTAAAATCATTCATAACTACAGCTCGGTGCGATGGCACATTATCGTCTTGAAAGCTTCCGGAAATTGTTGGTCCACAATTCCGGCCGTTTACGACGGATACTCTTTATTGATCCCCACCCCCGTTTAACGAATTCATGATGAAGCAATCACCATTGAAATGTAAGCGGAGTAATATAAGAAAATGTGAAAGGAAAGTTTTATAAATTTTGTTGATACATTAGATAGAAGTGGTTTGAGATATAAGGCCCTAGTACTCCTATATTTTGTCAATGTCCCGTTGTATGATATAAATCATTTGAAAGCCCGCGTCTTCAGAAGATCTGCGATAGTCCAGCGTGGCTCTATAACTTCTGATAATCGTCATTAAAGCCTGGTTATTACAACCTACCAATAAAGCCTCAGTTTGTTTTCTCCATGATTCAGGGCCACAGTATTACTGCTTTATCACGGAAAGGAATTCCAACGGTTGATTTTGAGACTTACGTTAAACCCGTTTTCCACCGTTGCTCTTTTATAGGTCTATAGATTCGTGGAGAGCTTCTGCTCTCCAAAACCTATCCAGTTCGAGTTTAAAGAGTTAACATAATATCCAAAACGGTTGGACCACAACCACACCTTAGGAAGTAATTCCTACTTTAGATAACAGTTTGTGGAAATTTACCTCTGTTTCTCAGTTCCAGTTAGCGTTAATATTACCGAGCATGGGTGAGAGAACACTGCCCTTTCAACATTTCTCAATACTTGAGATACTCCTACACTAGCGGCTAATGTTGTACAATGAAGTACATAAATATTGAAGTCCACATGGTCAAGAAAGCGACCTTACTATATTTTGGATTATGTATACATGCTAGTCGTTGGCCAAAAGAAACTTTTCAATCGATTGTGGCCGTGAAGAAGAGATCCCAAAGCTTCTTGTGGACTCATGAGTCCCTTTTTGTACGTATTTTAAAGGTGTCAAAACTTCTTTTACTTTGAACATATCCCGTCATTTTAAAGAATATATATCTCGTGATCCCTTCTTCTCCTATTTCGCCCAGGTATGCCTGGATTTGAAGCAGGTTGTAGATGTAGTCCACCTTTTCACATGTAAATTCGTTAAGAAGCAGTGCGTTCTTTATCGAGAAGAATCTGTTTGGTCAAACCTTTCCTAGGAATTTCACCCGCCTTACGTTTTTCCTCAATATCCCTGTGACCAGCTGCTACCAGGTACCTACGTCTGTTCTAATTGGCCCTCTCCGGTAGAGATAAGCGACAGTCTAGCACTAATTTCGAATTTGGTGCAAGCGAGCCCAGTGTTTTTGTTGCTACCTAGCTGGGTCCGATTTTATTTACAATCTCCATGACAGCAGATATTTCCGCCTGAAAAACACTGCAATGATCAGGTAACCTCAAAGAAAGTTCTATCGGAGGATTCCATGAGAAGACATTTCCACTACAAATTTTTTCCTTCCTGTGAATACATAGGCTTACACAAACTATCTCAAGCTGAACTCACATACACATTTCCAGATTATTATCATAAAACAATTCACTTAGGCCATCAACATTGGTTCGACGCGTTGTTAATGTAAATAAATATTAAATTTTCCTTTCTTCTATTTATTTATTATTTGATTTATTTCTCTTATCCATATTAAATTTGTTATTTTACTTTATATTTTTTTCATTTAAATTTGTTATTTATTTATTTCATTGCTTTTTTCAACCGAAAATTATTCACGTCGTGCATAATCCTCGACACATTCGTAACGCAATCGCATTTTGCTTTGAAAATTCGTAATTCCTTTTGCTCCGTCCTTTCGTTTGTTTACTATTTTTCGGGTAATTGAAAAATGTGCTTGAAAAATTTCGTGTAATAAACTATTCAAATAGCTTTCGCCACACTATCTTTCGCCGTTCAGCTGTGTCCTTACGTCTAACGGTCTAGGAATACACAAACATGCAAATTCTTACTTCCTTACAGACGTATAAATTCACACTTTGTATATGTATATACATGTATGTGCATATATATATTTATACATATTTAAATTGCATACTTACATACATAAATAGTAGAAATGTTTTTAGTGCTTTTGCGGTAATCTGCAATCCGTTTGTCAGCGTATACATCTGTATAGCTTTGAAACGTCGCATTTGTTTACGCGCATACGCAATGTCCTCCGATATCCTTCAGTCGTTTTTGTTGTATGCATCAGTTGCCGTGGTGGTTTCTGTGTACGTATGTTCTGTGTTTTTTTTCCCCTACTATTTAGAGAAATTGTGGAAGTGAAACTTAATCTGGTTGCTTGTGCACGGACTTTGAAAGGGATACATATGTGTTGCGCGAATTTACTAAATGTACATCGTAAAATAGAAATTCAACAAATCCAC